GGGTCGATATGGAGCCAAAGTTCTTTAAAAAAAAAAAAAAAAAAAAGTTATGGCTTCTTCAGGATCTGAACCCACGTACATTCGAATCGACAGGCGCAGCGCTTTAGCCGCTACACCCACGCACAGTCACTTCGGCTCCGCAGAGAGAAACTTCAGAATGTGGAAAATTGTTTAGAAAAAAAAAAAACATAACAGCCACCAAACATGCATTAGGTTGCTTTGCGAGGCCCTGAAATGGATTTTCAGTGAAGTTAAACGTAGAGGACTCTTTCTATCCCATAAACTTCAGAGGTATTGCGCCCGATGGACTAGGCCTCTGTTTTTCGGTCTTTTAATGCCAACAAACCCATTGTTTCTTCTAGACAGACCTAATTTATACAGGTCAAACAGACACATTTTTTTAATCCCTTAACCATATATAAACTATTGTTGTACAGTTGTCTGGGGATGAAAACAAAAAAAAAAAACTAAAGTGCAGGCAAACATCCACTGGTTATCATTGCTTTAGTTATAGGAAAACGATGGGATCCAATCAATAAGAATCCGGTATCACAGTTTAAAATCGATTTCGGTTACTTAAAAGAGACATAATGACTAGGAAAGTGATACGGTGTTATGCTGTGAAACAAGTATAAATTATTTAATAGGACTATTGATGAACAGAATGGTTGGTATATTTCTCTGGAATCGAACACACACATAGCACACAGAAACCGATCGACAGCGTTGAGTGGAAATATAGCTAGATAGATAGTTAGATAGTTAGATAGATAGATAGTTAGATAGGATAGATAGAATAGATAGACAGGGACAGACATACAGACAGACAGGACAGACAGACAGACAGGCCAGGACAGACATGACAGACAGGACAGATAGACAGACAGATAGACGAGATAGAGAGATAGATAGATAGATAGATAGATCGATAGATAGATAGTAGATAGATAGATTAGATAGATAGATAGATAGATAGATAGATAGATAGATAGATAGATAGATCGATAGATAGATAGATATGATAGAGTAGATATGTATAGATATGGATAGGTAGCATAGGTAGGTAGGTAGGTAGGTAGGTAGGTAAGTAGGTAGGTAGGTAGGTAGGTAGAGGTAGGTAGGTAGGTAGATAGATAGATAGATAGATAGATAGATAGATAGGAGAGATAGATAGATAGATAGGTAGGTAGGTAGGTAGATAGAAAATAGATAGATAGATAGATAGATAGATACGATAGATAGATAAGATAGATAGATAGATAGATAGATAGGATAGGATAGAGATAGATAGATAGAATAGATAGAGAAATTAGGAGTAGCATAGATAGATAGATAGATAGATAGATAGATAGATAGATAGATAAGCTAGATTAGATCAGATAGATAGATAGATAGCTAGATAGGAATGATAGATAGATAGATAGATAGATAGGAAGATAGATAGGAGATGAGGATAGATAGATAAGATAGATAGATAGATCGATCAGATAGATACATCGCTAGATCGATAGATAGACAGATAGATAGATAAGATAGATAGGTAGGTAGGTAGGTAGGTAGGTAGGTAGGTAGGTAGGTAGGTAGGTAGGTAGGTAGGTAGGCAGGCAGGTAAGTTGATTGATTGATTGATTGGTACACGTAGACACACATTTTTTGGAAAAACATCAAGATGTTCCAAACAAAAGTCATCCGAAGTTGTGTGACAATACAGACGCAGAGAGCTGTGTGATTATTGTCGCGCGATGTGTTTGGCACAAAATCATTGTGTAAGAAAAACTTATTGTGAAGATAAAGAGAAGTAAAACTATCGATGTAAAAAACTCCACTGGAATATGAAGAAAGCAGCATATGTATAAAACTGCAGGCTACAGTTTACGGCAAAGCCTACAGGGCAAATGGTAATTGGAAAAGTGGGTAGGGAAACAAGGGAGATGGGGTATTGTCAGAGTGGAAGCGATGTGTTTTGTCTTAGTTTGTGTTGACTATATACATAAGAAGACTCAGACACTCGCATGCTGTATTTTGTGTGTGTGTATGCGTGCGTACGTGCGTGTGTGTGTGTGTGTGTGTGTGTGTGGGGGGGGGTGTCCTTAATCATCTTCACCACCACCATCAACCCCATGTGCCATGCTTTAAAGCGTAGGTGCCATGGTTCGCCGTCTCAAGCGATCAACCAGAATCACGAATCTTGTCTGTGTTCTCGCTCCACCAAAGCCCCCTATGGCCAGCCCTTCCAGGTATTCATCTGCTTGTCTCCTTGCACGTTTCCCGGTTCAGTTCACGTTTCTCGGCCCATCTACACATTGCCAATTTTTTGGGGGAAGTAATGGCGGTCGGCAGCTGTTAACCACATGACCCATCGAGGTCAACATTGTTGAGGTTTAGCACGATATACCCGATCAACAACAGCGTGAAAATAGCACTTTACTTATTGTTACGGATATTGTAACACTTTCTGGAAGGTATTGTGAAGTATAGTCAGCGAGGAAGGAGCTCAACCTCTTATACCATGGAACGGACATACGTGGAAAAGCAATTAAAAGAAAAACTTGGACAGAAAATTACATGAAGCGGTTTTCCAAAAAATAGATCCTCTCATAAAAGCTGTATGCAGACAGCGACATCTTTCAAAAATTCAAAAGCGGTTGGGGTTGGGGCGGAATGGACCCACCACCACGAAACAAACATGTAGTGATTAGCGGTTGATTTGGAGGGGGAGGGTTTATGCGAAGTCCGAGTAGGACATCTACCCGGGAGGCGACCAAAAGCCTGCATTCAAATAAGCCATATAATATTTTTTTTAAAAAGGTAAAGTCGGGAGATGTGAACCAGCATCATTGCACACGGTTATAAACCATAAGTGCTCTGCCACCAGTTCAGCTAAAGCAAAAAGCTGAATAAGCTGAAGCTAAGAAAGCTGATAAGAAATTGTCCGCCTGTGTCGCCGTTCACACGTAACACTGTAGCTACAGCGACGTACCTCCATTTACCCCAGAGTGTCACTCTGGTACCTAAAGGCTGGGTGAACCCCGGGAACCGCCCAGTTTCAAACACTGACCGTGGCTGCTGCGAGTCGCAGCTGGTTTTGAAAGCGAGCTAACGCAGCCGCCACATGTAATATATAAAACGGATGTGCATGCATATCTTTCTGGAACAAGACCAAAGTCCATAATTGGTCGAACAACCAGAAGAAGAACAGTGGAGCAGAATGTATCATGAAATCATTCTTCTCCAACAACATTCCTTACAGGCATAGGACAGCCGGGCACACCAGGTTAGTACTTCGTATAGCCGTAGGGATGGCCTAATGATAACGTCCTGAGATTGTACGGGGTATCTGGGATTTATGCTGTTGAACTGGAATGCAAGAGGAGACTTTGAACGGCAACCTTCAGCCCCCATGGTGATGGAAGAAGAATCCCCCCCTCCCCCCCCCCCCCCCCCCTCCCCCCCCCCCCCCCCCCCCCCCCCCTCACCCCCCCCCCCCCCCCCCCCCCCCCCCCCCCCCCCCCCCCCCCCCCCCCCCCCCACAGCCGGCACGGTGATGGAAGGGGAATTCCCCCCCCCCCTTTTACCCCATCAGCAGCCGGCTAGCCAGTAAATTAAAGCGGCAGTTCTGATGTTGAGAGAGAGAGAGAGAGAGAGAGAGAGAGAGCGCGAGAGAGAGGATTACAGTGAGTTGGAGAGGGAAAATTATGTGGTGGGGGCACAAAAATGCTTGTTCAGAGGGCTATACTGTGTCTGTATGTGAGAGTAAATTTGCATATCATATAGGCGCTGTCAGACACGGGTTCGGGAGGCACTGTGCCAAAAAGCATGTGTGAAAACCCACACTAGAGCTGCTAATGTGCAGCACACGACACTAGATCATAAAAGAGCAGTTTTACATCTGTGCTTAAACAAATGCCCCACCGGCCTCTTGCTTTCTCCCTCTCTCCGACGATGTATTTTTAGAGCTGATGGAAAATCCTTTAACTGTAAACGCTAGAGCCACTTTATTTAGCATTGACCGCGACTGGAAGTCGCCGTGGCCGAGCGGCTAGACACTTGCCGCTGATCGGAAGGTAGTGGGTTCGCTCCCTGGCGGAGCCGAACTGTTTTCAAAAATGACCTTGGCTGCCAGGTCGACTCAGCCTTGAGTGGGTACCGGGTACAGTTCTGGGAAGTAGAGGCGGCCAGTGTGATGTTGACCACATCACCCATCTTGTGTCTTATGTCTATAAAAATACAGGTCTAGCCCTATATGCCCTATACGCCTAAAAGCGTGGAAAAGGGTCCTTTCCTTTTTTTTTAATTGAGGGAGGCTGTGCTGTCTCGTGGCATTGTGTTCGCCTCGAATGCTAGAAGTTCCGGGTGCAATCCTTGGTAAGGGCTAGGATTTTTTTCACGTGGACTTGGACTTTTAGCAATTCCTCCCTGGTCTCTGGGTAGTGAGTTCAGACGCCCGTGTGAATTGTTGCGCACGTAAAAAAATAAATCCCCAACTGGCAGTTGGAAATCGCAAATAATAGCCTAATGGCTCTGCCCGGGCAAAATTTTGGAGTTAGAAATCTACCCAAAGTATTTCAGGATCCTTTTACAGAACCTGTGCACTGTGCTGAGCTTCTTCGAACTCAGACTTGAGTTAAAAGAAGAACGGAACACTTATTGGTTACTGCCCGTGTTCTATGATGTTGATCAGTAGTTCAAACCTTGAAACCTTTTTTTTTTTTTTTTGAGATTAAATGAAGGTGTATCGGGTGTTAAACTAGAAAAGCGAATTGGCTGTCGGGAGGTGTGGATATATTTGTTAGAAAAAAAAAAATCGTAGAGATTCACGGAGAGACGGAATGATAAGGGCTGTAATAAATTTTTATAAAAGAAACAGACGACATGTATCAACCACATAAAAGACAACACTTTTTTTTTTAAATTGAAAAAAAAAAAAAAAAACAAAAAAAAAACACGCCACCGCGAAAAATCGAAGGTAAGAGAGCAAGGGGAAGACAGCGATACCAGTCCTTTCTTCGCGTTTACCCAATGTAAACTCCGACAAAGTCTGTTGTATGTTCGTCCACCTGATGTTTCAGACCTTGAATTGTTTGTGCACATCCGTTTTAAAGGCTTATTTGTATGCAGACAGTTGCATTTTTTCCTGTTTAGTTCTTTGCCTCTGACTTTGAAGGAAAACCATTAATTAGTCTACTCTTACGACATGCTTATCATGTAAGCAGTGGGTCTTTAATTCCCCCCCCCCCAACCCACCCACAATGGGTCCCCGGAACCCACACGGGGAAGCTCCCAAAATAACGTAAGTTTTCCCCTTATATATATATTTAGGAATTAGTACTATGATTAAAAAAAAAAATTATTTATTAGATGGACTTCTAGTAATCTACCCTGGTCTCTGGGTAGTAAGATCGGATCATCATCATCATCAGTTCTCGTTATGTCTAGTGGCACATGAGGCTTCAGAGAGGACTTTCCATGCTTTCCTGTCCTGTGCAATCTTCAGTGCAGTTTTCCATGTCAAAGATGCCATACTCAGGTCACTTTCCATCGTTCGTCTCCATGTTGTTTTTGGGCGCCCCTGTTTTCTCTTTCCATCTGGTGTCCATGTGAGAGCTGTTTTGGCAGGTATATCAGAATTTATTCTCATAACGTGGCCAAGCCATTTCCATCTTCTCTTGGTAATCATACTGTGTAAAGTTTCTTGGTTTGTGACCTGAAGTAGTTTAGTGTTTGAGATTGTATCTGGCCAGAAAATTTTGATAATTCTACGTAGACATGTGTGGTGAAAGGTGGACAGCTTGTGTGCATCCTTTTTGGTCATTCTCCAGCATTCCGCTTTATAAAGAAGAAGTGGCAAAATGATGCTCTTGTAGAGTCGGAGTTTCGTCCCTTTGCAGTAATTGTTGGATTTCCAGATTTGCCTCATCCTTCCAAAAGCAGCTCTAGCTTTGTTCAGACGTGACTGTATGTCCTCTTCGGTCCCTCCCAGTAGAGACACCACACTGCCAAGATATATGAAATGTTCTACATTTTCAAGAGTTTGGTTATTTATGGTCACTGGTTGTTGGTTTGGACTGCTTGTCATGATCTTAGTTTTCTTTGTATTTATTCTCAGCCCCACCATGTCTGCTGTGCTGTGTAGTCTGTTACTTTTTCTTGTATATGTTCATATTTATGTGATAGGAGTGCTATATCATCTGCAAAATCAAGGTCCTCAAGCATGGTGAATGGAGTCCTTCGTATGCCTCTCAATGTCCTGTCTACTGTGTTCTTTAGTTTCCAATCAGTTACAAGGTTGAAGAGGAGAGATGACATAACACATCTCTGTCTTACACCTGTCTTTACTGGGAAAGATTTACTGTAATTTTTTATAGTGCAGGAAAAGTCTTTATAGAAGAGAGCAATTATGTTGACTATTTTTTCCATAATGTCGTAAACTTTTCCATAGACCGTCTCTATGGACGCTGTCAAAAGCTTTCTCAAAGTCCACAAAATTAATATATATATACTTCACTGCCATTCATTGCATTGTTCTAAAATGTTACGTATGGCGAAGATGTGCTCAGTTGTTCCTCTGCCGTTTCTGAATCCTGCTTGTTCCACTCGTAGGCATTTATCTACTCCTTTTCAAGCTGAATTAGGATTTATTTTTCCAAAATATTTTGCTTGGTACTGAGAGTAGAGTAATTCCCCTCCAATTATTGCAGTCTGTTAGGTCTCCTTTTTTTGGGGATTTTGACTATTGTTCCTTCAGTCCAGTCATCAGTAAGATCGGATAACCATGTGTATTGTTGGGTACATGAAAAATCCATTGGCAGTTGAAAATAGGAAAGCCCTAACGGAGCGGCAGGGGCAAAAATTTGGAGTTGAAAATTTCCGTGCACTGCGCTGAGCCTTTTCGGGCTCAGGCTTGAGTCAGAATTAGAACGGAGCACTTATGGGTTTCACCTTGTGTCATGATGTTGATCCGTTGTCTAAAACTAAAAAAACGCTTTTGATACTTCTAATGCCTGAAATGTGAAATTGGTAATTTCATTGTAGCAATTTTTCTTATTCAGAGCATATTGTTTCTGGTTCTCTCCCTCACACCCCTCCCTGACACTCTTCCAAGTTTTAATAACATGAAAAGATATAAAAAACAAACGAAAAGTAGATCAGCGAGCTTCACAGTATAACAGACACAAACAGGAAGTTTTTAATACCAGTTATCGAGCGAGTAATTAACCCTTTCGTCCCGGTGACCTAGGAACAAATCAAAGAGTGTGGTTTAACAGACTTACTTGGGATGTTCTATTTTTAACTCAAAATATTAAAGGGATTCCCCATTGTCCGTTCAAGATGTTATGGTCACTCTACATAACACCCTTCTCATGCAGATAGATAGGAGGTATTCCATTCCACAGTGCACGTCGCCTATCAGTAAACATCACAGTCTGGGCATTCTCATGCTGCTATGTAAGGCAGTTTGACATTTGCTAGCATGTAACTTGCCAATGGGACTTGATCCCTGAGCCAAAAGTCAACTGCTGACAGCAGGAAGGGCATACAGCCATATTAACTTAAAGATATCAGTGTCACATTCTGTTTGATTTCTTATTCATCTTTTTTGTGTGTATTGTGAGCTCAGGGTTTCACGTGGTTCAGAATTAAGATTTTCTGCAATTTTTCTACAATGCATTTTCACTTTGTTTCCTGCATATCTATTTGCTTAACTGCTTACATGACTGTCTGTCTACTTTGTCTGTCTCTCTTTCTATCCCATCTTTATTTATTTTAAATGCTGTCTCCTCTCTGGGTCTTCATCTCATCTCTTTTCTGTTTCTTTTTGTCCAGCTGGTTTAGTGGTACATAACTTTCTGCCAGTGTTGCATCCTTTCTATATCTCCTAACTTTCTGTTCTCTCTTTCTTCTTCTTCTTCTTCGCGTTCACCAGCTGTAAACTCTGGCGGAAGGTTCTGGTTGCTCGTCCACTACTGAACTGCAGTCCTGCTCCAGAACCTGAGTGTTGCATGTGCATCAGTTTTACATATCTCATTCTCTTGAATACAGACTGTTGGTCCCTTGCCTCTCCGGCAGATGCACTCCGACTTCAAAGGAAGCTCCCCAATTAGTCGACTCTTACGACATGCTTTTGGGGAGGCAGTGGGTCTATTCTTGTTTTCTCCACAATGGGGCTCCGGAACCCACACGGGGGTTCTCTCTTTCTGTCTCACTGGTTGTATCTCTTTTTTCACAGGGTCCCCCCCCCCCCCCCCCCCCCCTCCACCCGTCTCTTTCAACGTCTGTCCATACGCATGTCTCACCTTTGTTTTTTCGTAATTGCAGTATATATGTGTGTGTGTATAGATATATAAAATAAAGGAAGTGGGTGTTGAAAAGGATGTGTTGGCCGAAAGGTGCAAATATCGCAGCCATGCTGTAAACGGACACAACGCAATTACATCTTCGGATGAACGCAGAAGAAGAATGAAGATGCTTTTGTATGAGTTGTTTATTTGTGCTGATTGGGACTGTCTTGGGTTGTAGAGCTAACTAACTCAGTACCTTCTGTAATTGTCCTCAGGTCAAATGGATGATGTACTGGATTGTGTTTGCATTGTTCTGTACAGTGGAGACATTTTCTGATTTCCTCCTTTCGTGGTATGTTACATTCATTATTCCTACCAGCAGCCTATGCATTTGTTGTCACTGTAATAGTTTTGTAAACAATGACAAGTTATGATAATTGAAATGCATTGAAACTCTGTCTGTAGCAGGCATCTTGCCTTATATTCCTGGCTCTTTTGAAAGTCTCCCCCGTGTGGGTTCCAGGGCCCTACTATGGGAAAAACAAGAATAGACCCACTGCCTACCCAAAAGCATGTCGTAAGAGTCGACTAATTGGGAGCTTCCTTCAAAGTCGGAGTGCTTCTGCCTGAGAGGCAAGGAACCAACAGTCTGCATACTGATCTGTCAAACGGATGCACATGCAACACTCAGGTTCTGGAACAGGACTACAGTCCAGAAGTGGACGAACAGCCAGAACCTTCCGCTGGAGTTTACAGCCGGTGAACGAAAAGAAGAAGAAGATTTGAAAGTCTGCCATGCGGCCCAGGCCTTTTAACAGGCATGCTGAAGAACTAATTATATTTTGTAAATATTAGAATCGCGAAAGGGATCCCTGCTGAAGTTGAAGGTGTTTTGTAAATGATATCACAAACTTCTAGAATTTGTTTCACATAGGGAAATGATAGTAGGGATTTACAGCTTGTCATTATTAGTAGTGATTGGGATTTATCATATGAAATATACAGGTCTGCAATAATTTGTTATTATGAATAGAGCAGTAGTACAGAAAATAACTACTTGTGAAATGCACTGTTTTCACAAGGTCACTAACAACACAAGAAGGAACAGGGTTATGAATACCAGCATTAGAGAGAAAGTTGGAATAAGACCATGTCTGGGTTACATTGACAAGCAAAGAATGAAATGGTTCGGCCATCTAGTGACAGTGCAGCCAGACTAAACTGCATGTGAGACTTTTTTTTTCACAGCAGAATACCTGGGAGGAAAGCAAGGGGCAGACCAGGAAAGATGTGGATAAATGGTGTAGCTAAAATCTGCAAAAAGATAAACAAATCCATCACCCAAGCCACTTAAGTAGTGCAGGACAAATATGAAAAACCACAACACTGGGCTACAGCCTGGTATCAGTGAGAGGGGAGAAAAAAGAAGAAGAAGAATGGAGGTGCTGCAAGATGGGACCACAGTAGAAACGTCCTGCGTGTCCAGAAAACTCTTAACAACTTAACAAACAGTTATTGATGCAGCCACTGTGCTTGAGGAAAGAAAAATTAAAAACAGCAAAATTGTCTTCCTGTGTGACTGCATGTCAGTCCTCCAGGTGACTCGGATCTACGAGACATCCTGGAGGGGGAACTGATCCACCAGCTCTTCAAAAAATAATCAAATCATTCTCCAGTGGATCCTGGGTCACTGCGGCGGTACCAGAAAATGAGTTAGCGGACAGACTTGCAAAAAATGGAACAAAAGGGAAAGTGTGCAGAGCAAGCTATGGCTAGCCATGAAGGGCCTGCAGCAAACATATGAGTTCATAGAGGCAACCCACATGATGGTCTGACCTGAGCATTCAAAACCAAACACAAAGAAGAGGAAGAAGAAAGAAGAAGCATAATTAAATAAGTTTTCTTTTGGTGCATAGATGATACTAAATATAGCTGTTGCTTGTTGACATGTTCTTATATTGTTGTTTTAATTCATGCATTATACACAATCTTCTATAGGTTTCCCTTCTACTATGAGTTCAAGATTGTGTTTGTTCTATGGCTGCTCTCCCCCTTCACTCAGGGCTCCAGTTTTCTGTTTCGGAAGTTTGTTCATCCACAGCTTGCTCGAAGAGAGAAGGTATGTACGAACCCTCCCTCCAAGCTCCTTTTTTTTTTAGGGTGGGGGGGAGGGAGGTCCCAAGACCCATTTTAGTGGACAAAAAAGGATAGACACCCTGCTCTAAACAGTCATGTCATAGAAGGGGTTTGCTGAAATCTTATCAGTTGGGTTAAAAAGAGCAGATATCATAACCTTATTGTAAACCACAACACAGCCTGTCAACTGCCTTTTTAAGGATGAACGCAGAAGAATAACTGATACTGTTGATGGCTCTGATGATAACCGCATTACTGATACTGTTGATGGCTCTTTTGATAACTGCATTACTGATACTGTTGATGGCTCTGATGATAACTGCATTACTGATACTGTTGATGGCTTTAATGATTACTACCATTTTGCCCCTGAAATTTGAGACTTTACTGAAAAATTAGCCCTAGCACATTATTCCAGGATTCTTTTAATTGACCCACCCCCCCCCCCCTCCACCACGCTCAAACATAAGCCCTGGTTAAAATCCTCAGCTAGAATGAGAGACTGGGGCCATTAGCTCTACAGGAAATCGAGTCGCAAGAAATTCAGTGGGGAAGGTAATGTAAATGTTACCCCACCAGGACATCACACAGAGCGAAAAACACCCAGTGACACAAAGTGCCACCATTTGGATGAGAATCATATGTGGATAGGTCCTGGAAACCCTGTTCAACTGTAAGGGTCCCCAGCAACAGCCAGTGTGGGGCTTCAAAATAACAAAAAAAATTGCATCCCACAAGGGGATGACTTATAGTTCGATCGTATTAATTCAAGGGGGAATTCTGGATTTGTAGAGTTATAATGATGTTACAGAAAAAGATGACATGACTAATTTGAATAAATGTAGAATTTTCAACATGAATAAATGTAGAATATTGTATCTAAAAAAAAAAAGCATATCCCTTGAAAATAAGCTGTAGTGCATTTTTTTAAAGAAAAACCACACAAAAGTTAATATAAGACCCAGTCTTATTTTTGGAGAAACAGGGTACATAACTGACACTGTTGATGTATATGATGATAGCTACATATGTTATTGAAAGAAGGGAAGGAACTCAAATTATGAGAGTGATCTGCCTGAGAGGCAAGGTACTAACAGTCTGCATGTAAATAATCAGTATATGTAGAATGGATGTGTATACAAAACTCAAGTTTTGGATCAAGACCAGGAGTGAACCTAAAGCTGTACATTTTTTGTCAGTTTGCAGTTGGTGAGCACTAAGAAGACGAAGCATTATCTTGATAGGAATTTATGTGCATAAGTGTATATGACTGGTGTTGAGATGAATATTGATACTGTTCCCAGGATATAGATGAACTCATTGACCAGACAATCAAACAGGGCTATTCAACATTTTTTGATCTGGGCAATAAAGGCATCAAGGTCATCTTGAAGTCAGTCATCACGGTAAACACAGTTTGTCTGTCATGTCTGCTTGTGTGGATGCTGTTCATTCATTCCTCATCTTCTTCTGCCCCTTTACATCACAAAGGGTTTGCAGTGTGGTCCTTAATTCTTTTCTGGCTTGTGCTATCCTTTCACTATCATAGATAAAGAGTTCAGTCTTCCCCATGTGGGTTCTGAGGGCCCATTTTGGGGGAAATAAAGAATGGACCCACTGCCTCCCTATCAAGCATGTTATAAAAGGTGACCAGTTAGGCATTTCTCCTCTGTAGTTGGAGCACATCTGTCTAAGAGACAAGGAACCTGTCTACACATAAATAAGCAAATCTGTAAAATGGATGCACATGCACAATTTTAGTTCTGGAACAAGACATATCCAGAATTGGATGAACAGACAGAAATGTCCATTAGAGTTTTACAGTTGGTGAACGCTAAGGAGTACAATCCAGTCCAGCACCTTTGGTCTCTCTCAGCAACATTTATCTTGGGATTTCTTTTTAATGTCCTTAAATCCACGCTTCTCCTCATGATATTCTCAGTGTAGCACAGTGTACTGCAGTTTATTCTGTTTCTGGTAACTGTTGATACACATTATTGTCCGGATATTTGTCTCACTTCTTTACTTTTTTGGAATTCATCCCATTTAGTATTATTACAGTAGACAGTTAAATGTGCCCTGACAGCTCTTAACGGTGGACTTTTGAAGTATGTTACAATCTATATTTCATTATTCAGGCAAGTTTGCCTTTTTTATTTTGTTTTTGGGGTGTGTGTTTTGTTCTTTCTTCCTCTTATGTGTTCCAGACCCCATTTTTGGGGTAAAATAAAGAATATACCCATTGCCCCTCAGCAAGCCTGTTATAAAAGGCCACTAATGAAAGGTTTACTGAAACTGACTTATGAATAAATGAATGAATCATCACTCCACTCATTACATTCCCACACACACTTGAACCCCTTCCTCAGTAGCCAGTAAAGAAAAAGCATGCTAACAGTACCATATGCAACCTAATGAAATGTCCAACTATGTTTCCACTTTGAATTAGTCTTTCAGTATATGGATTTTCTCTATGTTCTGTTGCGCTGTTAATTTGATTCCAGAGAGCCTTCACCAGGTCCACTTTATCATAAAGTAGCTCAATAGCCAATCTGTCAGACTGCTGATAAGATTGATTGGCACCTTTCCCTTTTTCCAGACAAAAGTGTTATATTGCGCTATGAGGAGGCATGGGATTCACAGCCCATGGTGATGGCGAGTGTGTCTCGCAAGACCCACCCGCATTAGAAAATGTTGCCCACAATTACAGCATGGGATTTCAGGACCGCTGTTGTCAACAGTTGTGTTTACTCTGTTTCTTCTCATCTCTGCAATCAATTCTTCCTTCATTCTCAATCCTTTCCTGATGTTTGCCCTCCACACAGCACGGTTGATGGCATTTTGTTCCCAGTGGTCCACCTCAATACCTGTATCATTCGTATCCTGCTTACACACTTAATACTGTAGTAGAGGTCAGCCTGGACATCTTGTACCCTGTCTTTAATTCACCACAGAGTATATGTCCTCAGGGACACTGCCTTCCTCCACTCCAGGTGTGACCCAGCCACCTGAGCCTTCATAGACTGAGCATTGAGAAGACTGTTGTAATAATACCTGCTCCTTCCAATAACTCACTGATTGTGATCTTGTCCTATCACTTAATATCAAGTATTCTTCTTAACATTGCATGTGAAAGCTGTTTAGCTGTTTTTGCTGGTGCGAATAAGTTGACCAAGTTTCACTGTCATTTAGCAGAGTGCTGAGAACGTAAGCCTGATAGACAATACTGTTAATAAGCCAGATTAGTAAAACAGATATGCATGCAAGACCAAAGACTGGAAATGAATGAACAAAAATGACTTTCTGCTAGAGTTTACAGCCATTAAACACAAAGAAGAAGTAGTTCTAACAAAGGAACATATTTTTTTTGGAACAGTTTAAAACTGCCCAAAATATGTCCCAGAAACTGCAATTAGTATTCCAGCTACTGACTTTTTTTATATTCATGTATATTTTATTTAATGTTATATTTCACAGTTTCCAAATATTTACTGGAATATAATCCCTTTACAAATTGCTTCAGGGTCAGTCAAAATTGGTAGACCATCTGCGTCACAGTTACAGCACCAGCGACCTCAGCAATGATGGCCATGACATTGTGCCACGGCAAGATGCTGTCGGCGATCGAGAGGAAGAAAAGGAGTACGAATTAGGTAGGTCACTTTGAATTTCCTTTCACAAAGTTTATTATTGTGTTTCTATAGGGAAGTGACATTTTAGGTGGGCATATCCAGTAGAACCTCACTTAACGAGCACCTCTCATAACGAGTAATTCGCATACCGAGCAAAACAGATTGTAAAAAAATGACTTGCTTAACGAGCAACGTTTGGCATTATGAGTGGCGAGGAGATGAGAAGTCCCGGATTGTGCGCAAGTTACATCAGTCTGTGTTTAGCACTCGTTCCAGTAGCATCGTAGTGTCGCTTGTGATCAAACTTTTTCTCATACTTGTGTTATAATGTGATATATGTACATTTATCCTCCAGGCATACAAGATGACCTCCCTGAAAAATTTAAGTTCATCAAGATCCAGTTTCTGCCTCCCGAAACCACTCCGTTACTCCAGCCCATGGACCAGCAATTTATTTCTAACTTTAAGAAGCCCTACACTAAAGCACTCTTCGAGCATTGTTTTCAGGTGACTAAAAGGGCCAACCTCACTCTCAAAATAGTTTTGGAAAAATCACTTCCACATTGTTGCCTGCCTCAAGATGATCGACAAGGTGGGGGAAGGGGTTACCAAGAGAACCCTAACTTCTACTTCGAAGAAGCTTTGGCTGAAAAGCGTTGTCGATTTGTGACTTTGAGGGGATCGAGACAGTACCTGTGGAACCTGTAGTCAACGAGATTGTGTCTTTGGCCACTATCATAGGATTGTATGGGGATAAAAGTGATATCGAAGAGCTTGTGGGAGAGCACAGCCAAGAGCTGTCCACCGAAGAGCTTATGGAGTTGCATTGTGTTTCACAGCAAGAAGTTTTGGAGGAAAGTTTGTCAGAGGAGGAGGTAACAGAAAAGCAACAATCTTCTGGCAAAATAAGAGAAATGCTGAAAGCATGGGAAACTGTTGCATCTTACATTGAGAAGCATCACCCTAATAAGGAAGTATCTATGCACGCTGTAAATTTATTTAATGAAATTGCTGTGTCGCATTTTTGCCAAATTTTGAAAAGCTGGCAAAAACAAATGTCTCTGGGCATCTTTCTGGTAAAAAAAAATATTTAGCTAGGTATCATAATTATTTCGAATTTCTTTGTTTTGTGTTTTCTGCAAATCGAATTCACATTCCAGGTGGGTTCATTCTGCGTTTGAAGAAAAGATAAAGATTATTCACTCTCCTTAACAATATGTATATAATTTTCTTTGAATAAATGTTATACATAGCATTTTGTGAGTATTTTTTCGACATGGAACGCATTATCATATTTTACATTAATTTATATGAGTAAAATTGTTTCGCATAACGAGTGTTTCGCTTAACGAGTATAATTCTGGATCGAATTATGCTCGTTAAGCGAGGTTCCACTGTATAATGCTAACTTTTAGTAAGTTTGGAATCAAGTGAACCAATAAAATGTACGGAGAAAAAACTAAAAGGGAATTCTTTGAGGATGTTTGTTTTCACTTCTGGGTGTGGATTCTATACCCCATTAGAAGGGGGGAGGAATAGACTCTGCCCCTCAACACACATGTTGTAAAAGGCGACTAATTAGGAGTCTGCTGGGGGGAGGGGAGGTGCCGACATTGCAGCCTAGCTTTAAACAACAACACAACACACCAATTCTCTTTTAAGGGTGAATGCTGAAACATGATGTTGTTTTGACTAAACCTGTTTGTCCCATAAGGTTCCACACCCAGGAAAACGACCGCCATTACAAGCATCACTCCATCTTTGCTCTTACTTGTTCTTCAGCAGTGGAAGACATGCATCTGAATGTGTTTTCCTATGATTGGAAACCTTTAGAACACCCTGTACACCCACATGCACACACACAAGTTAAGAAGCATAATTCTTTTACAGCTTAGAGAGTGATGGTAGAAGGTAAAACAGAAAATAAACAGAAACATTGTATTTAAGATATTCTATAAATAAGAAAGGAGACTGATAGCACAGTGAGTGGCTACATGCTATCCCGAAAGTCTGTGGTTTGAATCCATAGCGAGGCAGACTTTTGTGAATGGCTTGGGCTTCCAGATCAAGCCAGCCCAACATGGGTACCAGAAAGTATCATAGGAAGTGAAGATGGCCACTGTGATATTGATTAGATTAACCAAGGTGTTCTGTTTGGTCTGTTAACCTATGCATCTGGAGGAGTGGTTTTCAACTTTTTTCAGGTGAGGGGGTCCTTGTATTTAGGAAAAAATCCCCAATGCTTTCCTTCCCTCAGCTAAGAAAAAGTGGTTAAAAAGAAGAGGCAAACAAAGATTATCACAGGCTCTCTCAACAAGACCTTGGAGAAAAACACCCATGTAAATCAGTGTCAGATAACATACAAACTTTTTTTTTTTTTACCAACAACTGGTAATTTAGTGTCCAAATATCAGTATAATGGTCGACTTGATGATATCTGCTATTTTTGGTCTGATGTTGAGTAAGGCACAATGGAGATCCCTCTCCACATCAAAAGTTGAAAAACATTGATATATAGAATGAAAAGGACTCTTTACTTTAAAAAAAAAAAAAAAAAATAAAGGTTAAACAAGAACTAAAGACATTCTGTATACTGTTTATATATGCATAACTCAAGTCATCAGCCCTACATGTCATTTGAGAGGTGACATTTTCAGTTTACTGATTTAAAAACTATTATTAATCATCATTGTGTTGCTTATAATTGTTTTGCAGACAACAGACTTATAGAAGACCAAGCAGAATTAGCTCTTAGCTCCACAGCTTCAATATCCAAAAGTAGAGGTTCAAGTTCAGGTAATAGCTTCATATATTTTTATTTGAAATACTGTGTTTTCTGAAAATCCTAACTCAAAAAATTAGTCTGGCCACAAGTTTTCACAATGCTTTTGGTGAGAGGATTGACTTTATTGCACAGGTTTATTCCATTTGATGAACAGCTAGCAGCCTGCTGAGAGTATCACAGAGAGCACAAACTCCGTAGTGCTGGCGATGATCCCTAGGTTTAGTGTAAGCCCTGTGCCAAATATAAGCCGTAGTTAAGATCTTCAGCTAAATGAATGACTATTTGTACATAGAAATCAGCGACTACATTGACAACAGAATAGAGAGAATTCAGCTTGGAAACTTTCTGAAGTCTAATTTGCAGGAGCTTCTGACTTTGGCTGAGAATTTATGGGATAAAATCACTGTCAGCTGTGTTACCAGTGCCTTACGAGCAGGCTACATGGACAAGAAATGCTCATTTATGCAAAACTGGACATGAGTCTACAGGAAATGGAGTCTCTAGAAATTTAGGCCGGAATTCTGGATTTAGAGAGCTATGATAACACGTAGTGTTTGGGCGGACCAGAACATAGATAGGGAGACTCCATAACTTCTTCCACCGAAGACGAACATGTCTGCCTGCAATGGCTTGCGCACTCAGTAATGGATTTGGACACCAGTACAAATTATGGTTGGTGTATGTACTTAGATATTTACGCCATTATAGGGCTGTTCCTGTGAACTGCTGCCAGGTGGGAACATAGCCTGATTCCGGGCCTCGAAGGGATACACTAAAGGTAGCTCTGCACATCGGAGAAGTGCATATGCAGCCATGAAGAGAAACCAGGCCTCAAAAGCAAAGTGAGCAGAGCAAGCTATGGGGAACCATGAAGGACCTGCTACTGACATGCAAATTCATAAAGGCAATCTACCTTATGGTCTGACCTGGGCATTCGTAACCGAATGCAAAGAAGAAGAAATAGAGATCATTTGTGATCTTCACATCATATCCAATCATATCAGATCAGTATCTTAATTATATCTTCATGTTATTAATTCTGCAATGTGTAAACTTAAATGATAATAATCAATGAGAGAATGAAGAAGTTATTATCACCTGACGAACAGTTAGCCTAGCTGTTAAGATAGCAAGTTTCTCGTTTGGAAAACCCAGGTTTGAAATTTTAGTAGGGTTGGATTTTTCTATCCAAGGCAAAAACAAAATCCTGACCTACGAAGTCCATGGCCAATGCACTTGCCATGCGGCCCTAAATCCTCAGGCTTATGGTCCCCATCCTACAATGCCCTAAATGCTGTCGACATGGGCAGTAAAATAGAACGCGCTCAGGTCATTCACACTTTCTACTCAGTCCATCCTTTGATATCTTTTCATTTTTGTTTTGTTGTACATCCCCCCCCCCCCCCCCCCCCCCACAAGTCAGGCTGCAGCTGAGTATTGTTTAATATTCATAAAATACTTTACCTGTAGATTGTTAAAATCATTTAGCAGTTGTTTTTTTATTTGTTATTTGTTCAGCACTTCTGTATTTTATTTTGTCTTTTGGTGATATCAACCAGTTTTGTGTAAGAATATTTAATGGTACTGCTATCAGTATGAGAGGTAGTTGATACAGGAATTTTAGGCAGAAGCATTCATTCAGTGATTGTGCTGCTTGTTTCACCTTGTGAAGTTCATGATTTTGTTTCATGGCTGTGTTGATGCAATTTTTATGGAGATTTCTGGGGATCATCAGTGAAGCTGCAGGGTTCTTGCTTAGTGTAACACTCGCAACAGCGGACTTGTCATTCTGTGGAAAGGGACTGTGCTATTTAGGTTAAAACCTGGTGTGATGAAGTTGACCCCCTTTAGCTTTTTAATGTTAGCTTTGTGGATAGGGCAGCTGCGATATGCTGTGACTTTAAACTGAGAATAATTACTATCTGATTACTAAATTCAAATTAATGTCTGTGTTGTGAAACGAACAACAGAAGTAGGTTTGTGTATTTCAGCATTATCATTGTCTAGTGTGAAAGAGGAAGATGGGGAAGATAGCGAGCAGGTGACGACAAAGACTTTCACCATACCTTCCAGTACCAGACGGCATTACTCGGCTAAAGAGGTTGGTACTTTTGTCACCATTTGTTTTCCCCTTTCTGAAAGGATTTAATGCTAAACTCATCAAGTGTGATGTTAGAAGGTTTGAGATTTTTGCCAGAAGTAAGTGATGTATATACTTATGAAATGTATCAGAATCACTATGTTGACAGATATACAACATACAGAGGCTGCAAAGAAAAATGTATATTTAGTTTAATATACTGTTCACACCAAAAACAAATCGCATAATTTTCTGATGGTGCTTTCCTGCATAGTTATCAAATGGCGCATTATTATTAGTTGATGGAAAGCCTGCATGCCTGAAAGCTATCGATAACCCAGATGCACAGGCACTGTCAATTGATTGTCTAAACCCTAAGGTATTACTGTATGCAATTTGAACAGTTTCACTTATTAAATTACAAAGATTTTGAATGGCAAAAATAAGTTCCTTTCAGTAGCCATGAGTTTTTTTTTTTTTTTTTAGTAGTAGAGCGCCGTCGGATAACTCTGCATTTATTTTCTTTGAACAGTATAAATGTCACATATATAGACATTGTTTTTTTCTCCCTTTCACATGTAAATTTTTTTGGTTGGACCTTTTATATCAATACATTTTTATTTTGTTTTTGCCACTGATGAAAATGTGATCTTCATTCAACTCTTCACATATTGCTCGTCACTGATAGTGGCATAAGACTATTTATCTGCACACAGGTCTCCACAGTCACAAAAATCATTGCAGTACATTATTTGATTCCTGTAATAGTTGACAGTTTATAAGTGGTATTCAAGATAGGTCATGTTTTTAGTGTATGAGAGTTCATCTGTGTAACCTCAGTCATTTTCAGCAATTTTTTAAATTTTTTTTTTAATTTTACCAAAAATAATTTGGATTTTGGCATGAACAAAACAGACTGCTCTAAATCTGTCTTACCTATAAAAAGGTTTTTTGGGGAAATTTCGAGGTTTGGGGGGTTTTCAACCAAGAGTTTATTAGGCAAAGTGGTTAATGCAACTGTAATAATGAGACAGTGTTTTTTAGTCATCTGGTGAGACAAAAGGAGTTGCTGAACATCATGATCACTGAAAAGATCAGATCTTAAATAAAGTAGATACATAAGAAGTTATGCTATAGTGTTTAAGATGGCAGAATGGACAAATTTCATCAGCAGAATTGACTCAAAACACCAAGTACTAAGATCTGTGGGAACGTTTGAATGTGTCAGCCATCTGGCAGTGTGTAATGTTTGCTTCCAGTGTTAGTACATGGTGTGTTAAGAAAAGTTATTGTACAAAGTAGCCTAGAAATAAATGTCTATCAATCAATCCTCATTGCGCCCAGAGGCACATAAGGCAGATTTTATGTTTGTCTCTCTGTTTCTGTGGCACTGATATTTTTTTACAGTGTGGGGTTGCTGGCCCCACGTCTAACTCCTCTTAGTTGCCTTTCACGACATGCTGAGAGGATGCAGTGCTCCTATTCTTAATGACACCGGGCTGCACATGGTTTATAATTATTGAATTTCAACTTTTGTTCTCCAGCTTCCGTATACAGATTGAGCTTTCCCTTATGTCACTACAGATGTGACCATTAGAAATATTTTCACAAATGCTCAGCCAAGCAATTACCACTGTTATTCGTAACAGAGAACACACATAATTTAGCACTTTTGGTCAGTAATGTAGATAGGCAGGATTACAGTTTTTAATCGTGGCACGTTTTTGCTTCTGGCAACGGTTAGCCTTTGCATTTTCCTCCGTTTAGAAGCTGAAAAGATATAGTTCCGTTGCCTAACTATCGAGTTGGAGTGCTTTTTGATTGTGCCCAACATGGTTTGTGCTGTGAACTGCAGATTTAGCAGATGAGTAGTAGTCTGTCGCTAGAAAATTGGTGGTACCTTATGCGATTAATTTGTATGCGCAACTTCTGATCTGTTGTAACTGCTGCTTCTGTCAATGATGAATTGCACATTCAGTACCAGACCATTTGTGTTGGCACTTCTTGCAGCTGCTTTATGCATTTAATGTGTGTGTAATTAGCTTTGCTGAGATTGCAGTCTGTGTCAACTTTTTTTTTTTAATCGAGGGACAGTAATAGACATTCAGTGTGGTTTTCGTTGGCACATGAACGGACCAACTGTGGGGAGACCCTTTTACTATGAAGTTGGAACTGCAATTACCTGATTTCATATCTTCTTCAGCATTCTGAGCCCTTGAGGTTTATTGCTGCCGGTATCACAGATTACAGATGCTTTATATTATATGTACTTGCACCATGTAACACTAATTAGGACTTAAATGGTTCGGGCTATTCAGTTGGCGGCCCGTGGGCCAGATGAGGCGCGCAGAGGCCTAACAAAGGGCCCGCCGATTACCTGCCAACTGTATTGTATTAATGTTCTTTCTATGCTGGGGCTAGGTCCTCTGGCCCGCAACGATTTCCATGTCCATAAGTCTGGTCCCTGAGCAAACTTAGTTGAATGGCCCTGGCCTACTTTTTTTTTTGGAATATTTTGGCTCATAAATCATCTCCGGACTCACAGACGGTCAACTCCAGTTTCGTGATGGGTGAAAGAAAGAGTGGTCATCCTCACTTGTAATGGATGAACAACAACTGTAGTTTACAACTAGTCTTTAATATAATAAAACCTTGTTAACACAAATTCCAAGGGACCCAACCCAGAAAAAAAAAAAGAACTAAAAGAGTTGATGTTACAACAACAACAAAAACATAGGGAAGACACTACTAACCACTCTCACCTTGATATTGACAACTTTATATTGTAAATATTATAATTTTTTCAGTGTATATCATAAAGTGGACAAATTTTGTGTTTCATGTGATTACGAATCTCATTTCATTATGAAAGCTTTAATTGTTAATTTTGAGTGTACAAAACTTTGTGTGTAAATAGGAGTGTGTGTGGGTTTAACCTGTTATTTGTTGTTAGTTGTCAGTCTGTAGATTCTTGTACACCTCAGGTGTTGTTTGATGTTGTGTATTGAGTATATACAAGCTAATTTTTGTTTAATGAAGTTGTTTTATTTATTTTAGGTACTCACTGTACAGTGCATTATTTTAATAAGCACGTAGTTCTTAGGGTTGCAGCAATTTTAATTATACAGTGACAGAACAAACATTGTTCAGGCCCATGCTGTGGGTGTCCTAAAACGATGTGTGTTGTTGGGTCACCACTTGCTTTGACTGTCTGATAAGCTCCTCTGCTTCTGTCAGTCAGATGCACTGGATTTAATGTTTGCATATTTCAAGCCTGTTCATTCAGCCAAATTCTGTATCCAGGTCTTTCTTGGTCTGTTTGTTCTCCTCTTACCCTTCACCGAGCCCTGTAGTATTATTGGGTGTAATATAATGAATATGATAGAAACTGAAGATGAACTATTAGTTAGTTAGATAATTTTTCAAGCAGTTGAAATGCGTTAGGTATCTCCTGCACAATTCCCCCCTCCCCCCAAAGTTGGTTGCATATACTTTACAGGATGTTGCTAATCCACACCAACATGTGGTGGCTGTTTGTGGTTTTACTAGGCAACTTTAAATTCAGTAGTTTGCCATGGTTTTCTAAATTATCAGAGTTCCATACCATTGTCAAAATCGTTGACGGTGGTCTAATGTCAAATCACCATCAGCTGAAACAAAGAAAGCAAGTATTTCAGAATTACAAATCATGTTTGTAACCCCTGAGCCACAGACGCTGACAATACAGAAGTGAAAAAAAAAATAGCAGACAGCTGTTAGAAGGCAGACTTATATTAAAGCTATGTTGTGTTGTTTGGAAACAATGAATTATGGCAGCAGTGTTTGTTTCAGAGGAGATTGCAAAAACATGCAGTGAACAGACAGAGAAAAAGTGGGTCATTCCTTCAAGAAACAGAACAAACTATTAATTGATTAGTGAAATTAGACTTAAACAGTCATGATTTTGGGAATTGTTGTGAGAAGTGATAAACTTGAGGGTTAAGTGGTAACTGGCAAACTTGAGAGATTAGTGAAAATTGACATACGGGGGATTAGTGAGAACTGGCAAACTTCAGGGATTAGTGACAGCTGACAGTCTTGAGGGAATAGTGACAGTTGACAAACTTGAGGGATTAGTGACAGCTGACAAACTTGAGTTATTAGTGACAGCTGACAGACTTGAGGGATTAGTGACAGTTGACAAACTTGAGGGATTAGTGACAGCTGACAAACTTGAGGGAGTAGTGACAGCTGACAAACTTGAGGGTTTAGTGACAGCTGACAGTCTTGAGGGAATAGTGACAGTTGACAAACTTGAGGGATTAGTGAAAGCTGACAAACTTGAGAGAAAAGTGACAGCTGACAAACTTGAGGGAATAGTGACAGTTGACAAACTTGAGGGATTAGTGACAGCTGACAAACTTGAGTTATTAGTGACAGCTGACAGACTTGAGGAAGTAGTGACAGCTGACAGACTTGAGGGATTAGTGACAGTTGACAAACTTGAGGGATTAGTGAAAGCTGACAAACTTGAGAGAAAAGTGACAGCTGACAAACTTGAGGGATTAGTGACAGCTGACAAACTTAAGGGATTAGTGACAGCTGACAAACTTGAGGGAGTAGTGAAAGCTGACAGTCTTGAGGGATTAGTGAAAGCTGACAGTCTTGAGGGATTAGTGACATTGACAAACTTGAGGGATTAGTGACAGCTGACAAACTTGAGGGATTGATGACAGCTGACAGACTGGAGGGAGTAGTGACAGCTGACAAACTTGAGGGATTGGTGACAGCTGACAGACTGGAGGGATTAGTGACAGCTGACAAACTTGAGAGATTAGTGACAGCTGACAAACTTGAGGGATTAGTGACAGCTGACAAACTTGAGGGAGTAGTGACAGCTGACAAACTTGAGGGAGTAGTGACAGCTGACAAACTTGAGGGATTAGTGACAGCTGACAAACTTGAGGGATTAGTGACAGCTGACAAACTTGAGGGATTAGTGACAGCTGACAAACTTGAGGGATTAGGGACAGCTGACAAAC